AGGAAGAAAAAAGCCAGTCTAGGAAAGATGAAAGACCATGTGACAGAGCAGAAAGTGTATGAAGGGTTTGGATATCATCTGGAGCCTGAGCTCAGAAGATGGTCAAATTCCAGAAGGGCTTTGTGGCAGGTCCCTGGGGGATGTCCTCCAGAGGCCTCTGTGCAAGACAGCTGGGTATAAAAGCTGAGAGGGCCTGGCCACTCTTGTCTGCTCCCAGCTGGCCAAGCCACTGTGCCTGCTGCCTGCTCGGCATTGGCCATCCTCCAGGCGCATATGCAGGCCTGAACCAAAGGGCCCCACAGATCTTGCACTGTGAGCCTCCACAACCACAAGCATAAACCTCCTTCGTGTAAAGGAGCTAATGGACTCAGGTGTTTGGCTATTGTACTGAAAAGCTGCCTAATACACGGAAGCTCTACAAAAAATTTGAGGGAGGTGTCTGTTTTGGAACAACTTATGCTTAGATTTGAATTTTTTCTGCTTTTGCTGGCAAATTTTTTTTTCTCTTTCAATTCCATTTTCCCATGATCATTTTCACGTACCCTAGTAGGTTTTGCTATTACAAAGAGGGGAAAAGAAAAAATAGGAGCATGCTTGGATGCTGGTGGGAACCATACGCTTAAGAGGGAGGAGTTTTCAGATGCATATTAAGGAGTCACCCACCAGAGGCCGGTGGAGGGCAAGCAGGTGTGGGCAGAAGGCGATGACAGCTGTGAGGGAGGCCCCCAACACCTTGCCCACCCCACAGCAGACTCTGGAGTCTGGGCAACCTTTCAGAGACACACAGATGTTGGGCTGGGCTGGCTTTCCTCAGCCTCTCCCTGAAGTCAGAGACGGGGCAGCCATCAGCGATCAGGTCACGCTGGCTGGCAACATACCAGCAGCTGGGGGTGCTGTGGTCCTCCGACCACAGGAAGTAGGTGGCACATTAGTGTCACCACAAGGAGAGTGCTGACACAGGGGCCTCTTGGAGAAAAGAAAGGTTGAGGTCCCAAGCTGGGGCTAGCCTGAGCTAGCCCGCAGCTTTCCCTGTTGCAACAAGACAGAAAGAGCAGATGCCAGGGCAGGTGCCAGCTGGTGCTCAGGTGTGATGGCAGAAGGTGTAGACCCATCAGCCTCCATGTGTCACGTAGGAGACAGGCTTGTTTCAGAGAAAGAGGGAAAGCCCTGGGCCTTCCTTGGAGGAGACACCCAGACAGCTGGTAAGGGTCCACGGTGGCGAGAAACAAAACAGGAGCATCCAGTTCTATGCCATTTCGCTTCATCAACGCTGGGACCAAGACGACTGAAGGCAGAACAGGCCGGGAGGACCTCGGCTGGGGAAGGAAGAGAAGAGCAAGGCTGCCCTGAGTGCGCATGTAATATTGCTGGCGGTAAGGACGGCTGCAGGAGGACCAGGAGGCTCAGAAGGGTTACCCCACTTCTCCAACTTCACGCAGCCCTTTAAGTGCCCGGGATGGGACTCGGATGTGTAAGATGCCAGGGTGCCTGGCAGGAAGGACCCAGGTATTGGTCACTGGGGGAGGCGGGGGTCAGAGGAGGGAGGAACAGAGAAGCGGTGCCTGCAAAGATGCCAGAGAGGGCGAAGGCTCACGGGGACCAGCTGCAACTGCAGGAATAACAACAGCGAGGACTTGCTGCCAGAAGCTGCGATCTCCAGCAGAGAGAGAGAGACAGAGAGAGAGACAGAGAGAGAGAGAGAGAGAGAGAGAGAGAGAGAAAGGAGGAACGTGACAAATGACCTCTGCCTCACTCTCGCTGCATTCTTTCCCTGGCGGTAGCCGGGAGCAAGGTACTCGGTGCAGGAAATACAGAAAATGGGCGCACAGCCCGAGGCCTAGCAGCACGAGGTTTGCCTCAAGCTTCTTCCCTAGTGGGATTCCCAGAGGGCTCCCGGGAAACTGAAAAAGAGGCCAAGACTCCACCGGGGCGCCCTGGGAGCTTGCCCTGAGTGCCGCTCCCTGCCGCGGCCCTGGATGGGAAGGAAGCGGGTGGCACAGCGCGCGGGCAGTTGGTGACCAACGCCCCCCGCCCCGAGCCCAGCAACGCAGCAGATGCAGCCCCAGCAGTCCCCAGCCAGCAGCTGCGCTCCCGGTGACTCTGCAGCTGCGAGGCCCGACTCCGGGCGCTCTCTTGCGGGCGGGCACTGGAGCAGCCGCCTCGCAGACCTCTCTTTCCGCCCGGCCGCAGGGCGCGGGGGAGGAGGGTAGGGCGCGCCCGCAGCTGCTGGTGCCCGAGGGACCGCGGTGCTGGCTGGCGGGTGCAGGTTCCGGCGGCAGGAACTGGGCTCAAGGCCGCAGGTTCACGCTGCTTCTCCAGCCCCAGGAAATGCCTGCTCGGGGCTCCCTGCTGCGGCTGGCCGTGGGGGCTTGCGAGGCGAATCTGGAGAGGGTGCGCCTTGCATCCGCAGGTTTAGAATCCGGGAAATGTCCAGGCGGGATGCTTGTGAAGGTTCAAGTCCTTTATTTTACAGAAGTGAAAGTACAGGGCCAGAGAGTGGCGAGATTTGGGGTCACGCATGTGGTTAGGGGCCCGCTCCGGGATTAGACCCCCGGTAATCCCAAATTACCCCTAAATAAAACGTAAGCCTTACAGGTGTGCCGGAGTTGAAGTCTATTCGTTTTCCATCTGGAAAGGTTTTTGCCCAGCTACAACTTTCCCTGGGACTTGGCGGAGGCGTTCGGCTGAGCGAACGTGGGAAACCCCGCGCAATGACTGACCAAGCGTTAGAGGCAGAGCGGCGGTCCCGGTGCGTTGCCCCAGTCGCGCCCGGCCACCAGCTCGGTTCAGGGTACCGCAGCGCGGCTCGGGGCGCCGGGCAAGGGTCAGGACGCCGTGGGCCAACAGCCAACCACACCCTGGCACCGTTTTTGGAAGATATAGGGATGCAGCTTCAGTAGGGTGTCAGAGCAGGGTAGGAGCCTGGGGTGGCCGGCGGGAGGTGAGGGGAGGGTGTCCCCTTCAGCGGCGGAGACGCCACCGCCCACCCCTCCCGGCACTGTGCGCTCCGCACATTCCCCCATTGCCGTTGGCGCTTCACTCAGGAAGGATTTCCGACGCCCACGGGTTTTCTTCCCCTTTTTTTCTCCCCCCACCCCCGCCCATGGAAAAAGCAAGCACCCCAAACACATCCGGAGGCAAGAATCGAACTCTCATCAGACTTGACTAACCACCCACCTCCTCCCCAGAAACAGGGACTTCTTAAAAACCAGGATGATCAAAATCTTGCAAACCGCATCTAGAGCAGTCTCACCCGCTCAGGTCTGCGCGAACTGCGAAGAGCTGAACGCACAAGAACCAGTAACTTTCCATTCCCCACCCAAACACTCCCATTCTCCTCATACTTTCAAAACTTAAAAGTCGAGCGCGTGCACAGAAACATATTTGTCTTCACGTTCTAGGAATGAATGAAGAATCAATGAATGGGATTAAAAAGAGGGAAAGAACAACAACAACAACAAAAAAAAATCCGGGGCGCCTAAGCCACTTCGGAAGAATACACAACACAAAAAAAATCCCCAGCCAGGCCAGGGAAGGAAAATCAGAAAGTTGTGGGCTGCGAATTGTGAAACGGCGGAGGGAGCCTCAAATGGTCACGCGCTGGACAGTCGGGTTACACTCCAAGTTTTCCTAGCCTCTCCCCAGAGTGGGGTCGCCGTGAAGGATCCTACACTTGCTCAGGAAGGGAGAATGTGCGCGCGGATGACCGCCGGCGGCTGTTCCCGGCGGCGCGACACACAGATTAGCGCGGTCAGGCCGTTCCGGATGAGTCCCCCTACAACTCCCAGGGCGCCTCAATGCGTGGGTGACACTCAGTCCCCGGGGCGCGAACGGGGGTCGGGGTGGGAAGGAGGAACTCTTGGCCCCGGAAGCACGCGCCGCCAGGTGTGCGTGGGGAGGCCCGCCGCCCCTCCCGCCACAGGGTGGCTGGCACGGGGCATCGGTTCGTACTCGGGCCGGGAGGAGTCGGAGGGTCCCGCGACGCCGGCCCGCACATTGGGGGCAGGAACGCAGGCGCGCGCGGCGCCCCTCCTGCCCTCCGCCCATGGGTCGGGGCTTGGCACCGTGTTAACTACAGTGCAACTCGGACATGGATGTGCCCGAAGTGTACTTTAAATACCGGTGAAAAAAAAAAAAGACAGATTCATATTCCGAGAAAACTTTACGCTGATTCACACGCCCAACAGGAAACTTTAAAACAAGTTGTTTTTGTTTTTTGGAAGGACTCTTACTTTTCACTTAGTTAATTTCTTCCTTCCCCCATCCTCAAGTTTGCAAACTTTTTCCTGGAGTTTGGGCTGCAGGGCTTTTTTTCCCCCATCTTCTCTTTCTAAAGGCATGCCTAGAGTGTAGGTTCACCTCCTGGCCAAAGAAGAGTAAGACAGAAAATTTAAAGTTGCCAGCAGTTTCCAAGCCTGTCCCGGAAGGGCGCCTCTCCTGAACAGCCCCCCTGGCGCGGCACTGGCGCGTTCCGGAGGCTGAGCGCGTCTCCAGGCGCCTCTGCCTCCTCCAGTCCCTTCTCGATTCGCCAACACACACACACATTAGGAACGCGCCCAAGTCACATCAGCCTTGGGGCTCGTGGCCCCGCATCCGGGAGGCGGCTGCCGAGCCTCGCTCCCCGAGGCAACGAGCGCGGAAATAGCCGCGACTTGCAGGGGCGAGCGTGCCCCCTCGCCGGGGCCGGACCTCTCTGAGTGCACGGGCGAACCATCCTCAATCACAGCATCTGTTCCAGTATCCAGTCCCCTGGTTCCACCTCTCCGAACCGGCTAGCCTCCCCGATGGCGCAACCAATAGCAACTCTCAGTCTCTCTGTCCCGCCCCCAGATCCTTCCACACCCCCACGTCCCTGGAACGGATTGGCTGCCGAGTTGTGGTTGAAGCGCCCGCCTCGGCGAGGTGATCAAGGCTTCTGGTAGGAGCACCTAGCCGTCACTCGGGAAGGCCGGGCCCGCCCACTCCCACCTCGGGCTGCTGTCGTTTTCCTGCGCAGTTCTCCGCAGCCTCCCGCGGGGAAGCGCCGGGGTTGCTCTCCAGGCTCCGGCGCTCCAGAACTGCGAGCAAGCAGCCCCGCCAGGCAGCCGGTGCGCACGGTCCCGAGCGCACAGGGCGAGAGCGTGCAAGCCAGGGAGAGGGTCCTCTTGCCCACGATCGAGCCATCGCGCCGCGGGATCAGCCCGAGGGCCAGCAGGGACCACCGCCCCCGACTTTGCGTTCCAGTTGCGGGTCCTCCCGGGACAACATGTCAAGAGCTGCTGCCGCTACAGCTACAGCTGCCGCCGCCACCTGGGAAAGAGCAGCAGCAGCAGTGGCTACTGCGACCGCGGGTACGCGGGGGCAATAAGCTGAGCCACTCGGGCGTCCAGCAGGCTGGGGCGACCCCCCAAGTGCCTGGGGGACTCTCTTTGCGCTCACTGCTTGGGCGGGACCAAGCCATGTGCTGAGCCATGCCCCTGGCCGGGCCCGCGGGCCGCGCATGGGGCAGCGCCTGAGCGGCGGCCGATCCTGCCTCAATGTCCCCGGCCGGCTCCTGCCGCAGCCGCAGCCGCCCCCGCCGCCGGTGAGGAGGAAGCTGGCGCTCCTCTTCGCCATGCTTTGCGTCTGGCTTTACATGTTCCTGTACTCGTGCGCCGGCTCCTGCGCCGCCGCGCCGGGGCTGCTGCTGCTGGGCTCGGGCTCCCGCGCCCCACACGCCCCGCCAGCCCCGGCCATCGCTGCGGACGGGACGTCTCCCCGGCTGCCGCCGTTCCGGGCGCCGCCGGCCACTCCGGTGGCCGAGGAGGAGGAGCAGAGTCCCGAGGCGCCGGACTCTCCCAGCCCCATCTCCAGCTTTTTGGGTGGGTCTGGGAGTAAGCAGTTGCCGCAGGCCATCATCATCGGCGTGAAGAAGGGCGGCACGCGGGCGCTGCTGGAGTTCCTGCGCGTGCACCCGGACGTGCGCGCCGTGGGCGCCGAGCCCCACTTCTTCGATCGCAGCTACGACAAGGGCCTCGCCTGGTACAGGTAAGTTTTTCTCAGTTCAGGGACAAGAAGGAGGGGAGGGAAGGCGGAACGCGGGCCGGGACACGGACCGTGAAGAGGAAGGGAGCCGTGGCGTTAAGGCTGGGCGAGGTAGCAAGGGCTGCAGTTTCGGACTACCCGGGGCACAGGAGGGCAGCAGAGGGGCTAGCAGACGGGACACCCGGGACCCGCAGCCCAGCTCCTGCGCGGTTCTGTCTGGGCGCACCCAGTCTGCCTTGCTGTATCCAGCGTCTCAAGGGTCTGCGGGGTGCCGTCAAAATCTGGCGACCTCGCCGCAAAGCCGCGGACAGTCACTTGAGCGTGCGCTCCAGGGGGAAGCAGAGTTCCCTCTAGCCGTGGATGTCGCCCCAGACACATCCCTTAGTGCTGCTTGTCCGGGACGCTGGGACGGCGTTGTGCGTCCCTTAGGTCGCACTCTGCTCTCTGCACCAACTCTCTGGAACAGTTTCTGGCCCTCTGGATGGGGACAAGGGGGATGGCAGCCAGGGCGTGCTGCCGAAGCCACGGGGAGGCCGTGGGCTTTCTGGGTTACTCTCTCCTTGCTCCCGAGGCCCTGAGGCTAAGGACGGGGAAGGGGATTCTCAGACCCGCTCGGCGACAGAGTGTCGGGCAGCGGAGGGTGACCCGGCCGGGCGGGTGGTTAGACGCCTCCGGCTAGTGCGCAGAGCGTGGAGCGGTGCTGGTCCCTGTCGGGCAAAAGCGCGTACTGCAGCCGGCAAAGCCGAGCACAGCTCGCTGGAAGGCTTCTGGAGGACCCCGCTCGGGGCAGGGCTCACCCGTTACCGACTTCCCTGCCGCCCCAGCCCTCCTCAGAGAGAGAACGAGTGTCCTCGGGCGCTTTTCTGCGTCGGGGCTCCAAAAACTCTTGCGGGATTCATGCATGGACTGAGACTTCGAGGTCGCACGGCTGCCCCAACTTTCTGGTTCTCCCTCCTTGAGGAGAACAGCTCATCCCCGTGACCTCTGCCCACCGACTCCCGGAACTCCTGGCCTTTCGCGCCGAGGTGGGTTAGGTCGAGCCCGCGCGAGGCGCACCAGAGGCAGGGGTTGTTATAGACTCTTCGGATCACCAGTCCTCAACCCGGAGAGCACGGGTCCCAATAGCCTCTTCAGGCCCAACAAGAGCCTTGTGAAGACAAAACTGGGAGATGCTAACCGCCCTTCTCCCCATCCCCGCTCCCTGTCACATTGGGGTCCCGGTGACTACAAAAGTGGGGTGGGGACTGGAACCTCAAGCATCAAAACCTCTCTTCCTGGCCTCGCGTATCCCCCTCCCCTGCTTCGTCCTTCATGTCTTTGCTGTTCAGACGAGTTGCCCACGTCTGCAAGCTTAGCCAGCCAGGACAGTCTTCCTTCCGTCCGGCCTGGGGAATAGAGGAGGGGCTCTGGATTTGCGACCCTCAGTGTCCCCATCTGCGCAGTGGGGGCAGTGCTGGTGCGAACACGCAGCGGGACGGGGAAGGTGGGTCTGTCCAAAGGTTCGCTGTGGTCCTTGGTTCGTACTGTTTCTTACCGTCCCACCATCCGCATCCCCCATCCCCGGACCTGGGAGCAGGCAGCGCATCTGGGGGCCGGTGGCTGGAAAATTACTGAACCCAAGTCGGCTGCGGAAATTCCGTACTGGGAGCTGCCGGCAGCCGGGTCTTGGGCAACCGCCCTCCACCTGCCGCGCGCCTGCTGAACAGGACCCGGGACGCACTGCCGACCCTCCAGTCTCGCGCACCAGCCCCTGAGCTTCGCTCCGGCACCCCAGGCAGCGAACGGCTGGCTAGTCATGGGGCGAGGGACTCGGCCTCCTCCCAAGCCACCTCCCCAGACTGGCAGCCGGGACCCCAAGGAACCAGGTGGCTGGAGGCGCAAACTGCAGACGCCGAATCCCACTGCAAATGCAGTGTCCCCAGAGTGCGGGGTTGGTGGATTTTTTAGAAAAAAGAAATTAAGAAGCACTTTGGTGTTCTTTAGTTAGAGTAAAAAATAAATGAATAGTTGCGTGGGCAAAAGTGGGTTGGCTTTACAGTGACGTGAAAGGCGGCGATTTTCACTGAGAAAGACGCCTGACCCAGGGCGCGTCGCGCCTTATGGGGAGCCCACGCTGTGTTTTCGGGTCTCGCCAGATGTTGGGCCCGGATTCTTTTCCAAGCGGGAGGCTGATGGGAGAGGAGCCGCAAATCATCGCGTGCCCGAGGAGAGTGGCCATTGGCTAGCGTGGGCTGGGACTCAGACCCAGGACAGCGAGGGGGCAACCCCAAACCACCGATGCGTACCGGCTTGGATCCCAGGATCAGTATGGAGTTGATTGGTGGTACAGCGCGGCAGTGAGTCGGTAGTGGCTTGGGTGGGTCGTTAGTGGCTTGGGTGGATCGGTGCATGGTACAGGGCCCTGGGGCGGATTTGCGTGGCGCTTTGGAATTGGATGCTGGAGAAGAGGAGATGCCAGCAGTTCGAGGAAAAGGGAGGAAGGGACTGTGATGGCCCCGGAACTCCGGCCAGCCGGCAGCAGCCCAGAGCCGGACTTCACATCCTGACCGAGTTTATCTGCGATTGAACCTCTCCCCAAGTTTGCCTTCTCGCTTCCATTATTCTGGCCATGGGACCGATTTCCCCAAGCCTAGCAGTAGCAGGTGCTGATAGGGACCCCACGGTCTGGCTTGATGGCCCTGGAGAGGGGGAGACGTCTGAGAACTGGGGGGCGTCGGGGGTTCTGTAGAACTTGTCATTGGCCAGGAGGGACACTTGGGCTTGGACTATTGGCTGAAACTTGGACTAGTCAGACATTTCGTATCTAAGTTTTAAAGGTGTGTTTTCTTCTTAAATTTGGTTTAACTTTGGATGGATTTTCAGACCTCTTTGGTTTGGCAATTCATTGCTCCACATGTTGTGGTTATACAGACTTCCGGGGAAGGGGAGGAGGGTCCCCACCCTACTCTGCACTCTGACTTTTGCACATAATGCTGACACTGGAATGTATTAGCCCACAGGGTAGTGTGTGTGTGTGTGTGTGTGTGTGTGTGTGTGTGTGTGTGAGAGAGAGAGAGCGAGAGAGAGAGAGAGAGAGAGAGAGAGAGAGAGAGAGAGAGAATAATGTTGCTAGCTAATAACATCTAAGGTGCCAGCCACTGTTGCAAGTTTTACAGGATTAGTGAGTGTAATCCTCATTACTGTTCTGGGAAGGGGGAAGGGGGTACCTTGGCAGAGGTGGAAATGGGCACAGAGAGGTTAAGCAGCCTGCCCAAGGACTCACAGCTGGAGCGTGGCAAAACCCATGTCACACTCCCCTCTCCGTCCACCCCAGTCCCACACCCAGGCCAAAGGTTGGTTTGCTTCTTGGGTGCCCACAGTGATTGCAGCATTTTAAAACAGCACCAAGTCCCAAACGGGCTACTTAAGTCACATCCACAGTGGGTTTAGAAGAGGAGCCAAGGGTACCCACATCACTGGGGCAGGTTTTTTTTTTTTTTCTCTCTCTGTCCCCAGCAGCGGCAATCAAAGGAGTCATTAAAATGACACAAATTTCCCTCCAGTACAAGAGGCCGAGAAAGCCCAGCCAGGTTCCCCGCCGGAGGGGGAGATTTATTCTACTGCTGCCGCCGTTTGCCCTTTTCAAGGCTGGAGAGGGACTGGAGGACACAGGGTTAAATGACACGGTCCAGAATTTCTTGGGGATTAATGTATGCATTAAAAATACTGCCTCCAGTGAAGGCTGAATAATTAATTTGTACATATTAAGCAGGATATCCAAATCCAGCCGACACGACACTCGTATTTCTTAGAATGCGGTTCCAAAACCGAGTTAACTTGAGCTCTCTTCTCCAGCAGAGTAGCAATCTTGTCTATTCTTTGTAAATTTTAACAAAGGCTAAGAAGTTGACATTCCAACCCCCCCCCCCCCCGTGTGGCCTCCCCCTCTTAATCTACTTCTAAAAACCTGATGACAAAGACAAGTTTCTGGCTTCACTGAGGGAAACTTAAGATAAGATCTGATTGGGGTTGATCTGGTTTGAAATAATTGCTCTATCTCCATCTCCCTGCTGGAGCTGAAACCGAGCATACTACTCATTTCCAGGCTGCTGGGTGAAGACCAAAAATCTCCATTTGTATGCAACAATTTGAAATACAAACCGTCATGTTACAAAGCTGTCAGGATTTATTAGCAAGACAGTGTAGCATGTGTTGAACTCTGTTTTTAATTAGGCACCTAAATTAGACCATAAAATGGTTGATTAATCTTTTACAAGTTGAGGGGAAAATATAACACAAATTAACCTAATCATAAGTGTTTTCCCAGATGCTCGAGTTAATAAAATTGTCAATATTTAATAGCTACCTATTTGTTTTAGATAAGTAAAAATGTCCAAGCGTGTGAGTTAACTGTCACTTACTATCTCCCACATGATGCCCTTTTATTGCACATTAGTCTTAAAAAATATTTGTCAAAACACAACACCCCCATTACAACTTAGAGATTCGGCCCTTTCCGACGGAATCTAATCATTGAAAAAAACGTAATTCAGTGTCGACTACTATTTATGAAGCTATTTGCCCCAGCTCAAGTTGTGCATGTTTGAAATTTTAGTTTTGCTTATTTGGTATTTTATTTTTGCTAGAGGCACAATTTTCTGATATTTGGTAAGGGCAGCATGTCATAAAGTCTCGTGCCATCTATGTATGCTCACCTGCCTTTCTGTTTAAGACAAATTGTAGGAGACAGAGTTTTTTGGTGATAAAGCAATGACTTCGAATCAGAGAAAGTTTGTATCATTGAAAGTGCATCAGGAATTGAACAAAAAAAAAAAACAAACAAAAAAAGAAACCCACCTTTAGTCCCCAGTGGGAGAGAAGCATTTTTTTACAGTATCAGCCCTGAAGGACAGGGCTGCGGTTGCTCTGCCGGCTGCTCTCTGCTTTTTGAAATATTTAATGTTCTCCCTCTATGAACGTGGAACTTCAGCTGACCGGCAGCAACACAAAATGTCCACTCTAAA